GAGTCTACAGTTACAGAACCTCGACATACACTACCGGTGGCAAAGAATGTAATGAGCTACGACTCGTAATTAAAGTTTAAAGTAATGTACACAAATAAGTGAATACAATGATTAAGTAGATATGTACACTGATATATGTGTTGAATGCGACATTTTTGACTAAAGGAATCTAACTATGGATACAAAGAAGGGATAAGCTTAATTTACAAAGACAAAAAAATGAAAGTATATCATACAGAGTTTGCAATAGAGGAGAAACAAGTTCCTCTTTTTTTGTATGAATTACTATTTACAAAAATGGGAGATGTTGGAATTAAATGAAAGGATAAAATGGGTTTTTTTTGAAAAAGTGCGAATGAATAATAAAGAAAGAAAGAAAAGAAAAAAAAAAGAGAAAGATATACATAGAATGTTAAAAAAAGTCCTGGCTAGTTTTTTGTTTTTTTTTTGAAAAAATTGTCTTTGGTTTTTAAAAGTTCGACGAACAAGTGTTGATTCGACGGAAAGTGGTGGTGCCACGATCCACCGCACGCAAGTTGCGTTCGCTACTTCTGACCGAATCGTCCACTCCGTAGATGTATTGTTGTATATCGTGTATCGTGATACAATTGAAGATAAATGTATGTGCCAAGACACCGACCATCTAAAAAAGAAAATATAATAGAGTCAGATCATGTATTGAATTGTATGTGAAAATCCGGATTATCATCTCGTGCGCGAAACATCATTTACCTGTGCCAATCTTGAAAAGAGCACAATCTTCGCTATGTAGAATAATTGAGGTCCAAATCTTTGCATCAATATTTTACTACATCCCTCGATGCCCTCACCGGATCGGTCGACAACCGGCGAATAGTAACCTTTGCATGAAAACTAATACGTATATATAGAACAAAACAAATTTCGTCAATAATCGTCAAATGAGCAGGGAGACGTTACGGAGAGATGACCAAATATTACCTCATATTCAATTTCTTTCACCAAATCAATATCCATATCATATGCCTTTT